TTCAATATTGAAGAATATTCTTCAATATTGAAGAATATTCTTCAATATTGAAGAATATTCTTCAATATTGAAGAATATTCTTCAATATTGAAGAATATTCTTCAATATTAATATTCTTCAATATTGAAGAATATTCTTCAATATTGAAGAATATTCTTCAATATTGAAGAATATTCTTCAATATTGAAGAATATTCTTCAATATTGAAGAATATTCTTCAATATTGAAGAATATTCTTCAATATTGAAGAATATTCTTCAATATTGAAGAATATTCTTCAATATTGAAGAATATTCTTCAATATTGAAGAATAATCTTCAATATATTGAAGAATATTCTTCAATATTGAAGAATATTCTTCAATATTGAAGAATATTCTTCAATATTGAAGAATATTCTTCAATATTGAAGAATATTCTTCAATATTGAAGAAATATTGATATCTTCAATATTGAAGAATATTCTTCAATATTGAAGAATATTCTTCAATATTGAAGAATATCTTCAATATTGAAGAATATTCTTCAATATTGAAGAATATTCTTCAATATTGAAGAATATTCTTCAATATTGAAGAATATTCTTCAATATTGAAGAATATTCTTCAATATTGAAGAATATTCTTCAATATTGAAGAATATTCTTCAATATTGAAGAATATTCTTCAATATTGAAGAATATTCTTCAATATTGAAGAATATTCTTCAATATTGAAGAATATTCTTCAATATTGAAGAATATATCTTCAATATTGAAGAATATTCTTCAATATTGAAGAATATTCTTCAATATTGATTCTTCAATATTGAAATATTCTTCAATATTGAAGAATATTCTTCAATATTGAAGAATATTCTTCAATATTGAAGAATATTCTTCAATATTGAAGAATATTCTTATTCTTCAATATTATTCTTCAATATAAGAATATTCTTCAATATTTCTTCAAGAATATTCTTCAATATTGAAGAATATTCTTCAATATTGAAGAATATTCTTCAATATTGAAGAATATTCTTCAATATTGAAGAATATTCTTCAATATTGAAGAATATTCTTCAATATTGAAGAATATTCTTCAATATTGAAGAATATTCTTCAATATTGAAGAATAATATTGAAGAATATTCTTCAATATTGAAGAATATTCTTCAATATTATTCTTCAATATTGAAGAATATTCTTCAATATTGAAGAATATTCTTCAATATTGAAGAATATTCTTCAATATTGAAGAATATTCTTCAATATTGAAGAATATTCTTCAATATTATTCTTCAATATTGAAGAATATTCTTCAATATTGAAGAATATTCTTCAATATTGAAGAATATTCTTCAATATTGAAGAATATTCTTCAATATTAAAGAATATTCTTCAATATTGAAGAATATTCTTTAATATTGAAGAATATTCTTCAATATTGAAGAATATTCTTCAATATTGAAGAATATTCAATATTGAAGAATATTCTTCAATATTGAAGAATATTCTTCAATATTGAAGAATATTCTTCAATATTGAAGAATATTCTTCAATATTGAAGAATATTCTTCAATATATTCTTCAATATTGAAGAATATATTCTTCAATATTGAAGAATATTCTTCAATATTGAAGAATATTCTTCAATATTGAAGAATATTCTTCAATATTGAAGAATATTCTTCAATATTGAAGAATATTCTTCAATATTGAAGAATATTCTTCAATATTGAAGAATATTCTTCAATATTGAAGAATATTCTTCAATATTGAAGAATATTCTTCAATATTGAAGAATATTCTTCAATATTGAAGAATATTCTTCAATATTGAAGAATATTCTTCAATATTGAAGAATATTCTTCAATATTGAAGAATATTCTTCAATATTGAAGAATATTCTTCAATATTGAAGAATATTCTTCAATATTGAATTGAAGAATATTCTTCAATATTGAAGAATATTCTTCAATATTGAAGAATATTCTTCAATATTGAAGAATATTCTTCAATTCTTCATTTGAAGAATATTCTTCAATATTGAAGAATATTCTTCAATATTGAAGAATATTCTTCAATATTGAAGAATATTCTTCAATATTGAATATTGAATATTCTTCAATATTGAAGAATATTCTTCAATATTGAAGAATATTCTTCAATATTGAAGAATATTCTTCAATATTGAAGAATATTCTTCAATATTGAAGAATATTCTTCAATATTGAAGAATTCTTCAATATTGAAGAATATTCTTCAATATTGAAGAATATTCTTCAATATTGAAGAATATTCTTCAATATTGAAGAATATTCTTCAATATTGAAGAATATTCTTCAATATTGAAGAATATTCTTCAATATTGAAGAATATTCTTCAATATTGAAGAATATTCTTCAATATTGAAGAATATTCTTCAATATTAAAGAATATTCTTCAATATTAAAGAATATTCTCCAATATTAAAGAATATTCTCCAATATTAAAGAATATTCTCCAATATTGAAGAATAATATTGAAGAATATTCTTCAATATTGAAGAATATTCTTTAATATTGAAGAATATTCTTCAATATTGAATAATAATATTGAAGAATATTCTTCAATATTATTCTCCAATATTGAAGAACATTCTTCAATATTATTCTTCATTATTGGAGAATATTCTTCAATATTGAAGAATATTCTCCAATATTATTCTTCAATAATAATAATATTCTTCAATATTGAAGAATATTAATATTGAAGAATATTCTTCAATATTGAAGAATATTCTTCAATATTGAAGAATATTCTTCAATATTGAAGAATATTCTTCAATATTGAAGAATATTCTTCAATATTGAAGAATATTCTTCAATATTGAAGAATATTCTTCAATATTGAAGAATATTCTTCAATATTGAAGAATATTCTTCAATATTGAAGAATATTCTTCAATATTGAAGAATATTCTTCAATATTGAAGAATATTCTTCAATATTGAAGAATATTCTTCAATATTGAAGAATATTCTTCAATATTGAAGAATATTCTTCAATATTGAAGAATATTCTTCAATATTGAAGAATATTCTTCAATATTGAAGAATATTCTTCAATATTGAAGAATATTCTTCAATATTGAAGAATATTCTTCAATATTGAAGAATATTCTTCAATATTGAAGAATATTCTTCAATATTGAAGAATATTCTTCAATATTGAAGAATATTCTTCAATATTGAAGAATATTCTTCAATATTGAAGAATATTCTTCAATATTGAAGAATATTCTTCAATATTGAAGAATATTCTTCAATATTGAAGAATATTCTTCAATATTGAAGAATATTCTTCAATATTGAAGAATATTCTTCAATATTGAAGAATATTCTTTGAATATATTGAAGAATATTCTTCAATATTGAAGAATATTCTTCAATATTGAAGAATATTGAAGAATATATTCAAGAATATTCTTCAATATTGAAGAATATTCTTCAATATTGATTCTTCAATATTAATATTCTTCAATATTGAAGAATATTCTTCAATATTGAAGAATATAATATTGAAGAATATTCTTCAATATTGAAGAATATTCTTCAATATTGAAGAATATTCTTCAATTGAAGAATATTCTTCAATATTGAAGAATATTCTTCAATATTGAAGAATATTCTTCAATATTGAAGAATATTCTTCAATATTGAAGAATATTCTTCAATATTGAAGAATATTCTTCAATATTGAAGAATATTCTTCAATATTGAAGAATATTCTTCAATATTGAAGAATATTCTTCAATATTGAAGAATATTCTTCAATATTGAAGAATATTCTTCAATATTGAAGAATATTCTTCAATATTGAAGAATATTCTTCAATATTGAAGAATATTCTTCAATATTGAAGAATATTCTTCAATATTGATTGAGAATATTCTTCAATATTGAAGAATATTCTTCAATATTGAAGAATATTCTTCAATATTGAAGAATATTCTTCAATATTGAAGAATATTCTTCAATATTGAAGAATATTCTTCAATATTGAAGAATATTCTTCAATATTGAAGAATATTCTTCAATATTGAAGAATATTCTTCAATATATGAAGAATATTCTTCAATATTGAAGAATATTCTTCAATATTGAAGAATATTCTTCAATATTGAAGAATATTCTTCAATATTGAAGAATATTCTTCAATATTATTCTTCAATAATAATAATATTGAAGATTATTATTCTTCAATATTGAAGAATATTCTTCAATATTGAAGAATATTCTTCAATATTGAAGAATAATATTGAAGAATATTCTTCAATATTGAAGAATATTCTTATTGAATATTGAAGAATATTCTTCAATATTGAAGAATATTCTTCAATATTGAAATATTGAAGAATATTCTTCAATATTGAAGAATATTCTTCAATATTGAAGAATATATCTTCAATATTGAAGATTATTCTTCAATATTGAAGAATATTCTTCAATATTGAAGAATATTCTTCAATATTGAAGATTAATATTCAATATTATTCTTCAATATTGAAGAATATTCTTCAATATTGAAGAATATTCTCCAATATTGAAGAATATTCTTCAATATTGAAGAATATTCTTCAATATTGAAGAATATTCTTCAATATTGAAGAATATTCTTCAATTATTGAAGAATATTCTTCAATATTGAAGAATATTCTTCAATATTGAAGAATATTCTTCAATATTATTCTTCAATATTGAAGAATATTCTTCAATATTGAAGAATATTCTTCAATATTGAAGAATATTCTTCAATATTGAAGAATATTCTTCAATATTGAAGAATATTCTTCAATATTGAAGAATATTTCAATATTGAAGAATATTCTTCAATATTGAAGAATATTCTTCAATATTGAAGAATATTCTTCAATATTGAAGAATATTCTTCAATATTGAAGAATATTCTTCAATATATTCTTCAATATTGAAGAATATTCTTCAATATTGAAGAATATTCTTCAATATTGAAGAACTATTGTATTTCCCTATACCGTTTTACTTTAACCTTTCTGTCAACATTTGTCACTACACAACGTTGAACAATAACACTAATAGAAACTTTTCTCAGCTTCCGACAAAACGTGCTCATATTCCCCACTTATTTACTTTTCTATTGCTAAATAATATAATTATATATTTTTCCTTTTATTATATATTAATTACCTATTTCATTCATTAACAATATTTCCTCATTACGATCACAATTATTGACTAGTGCATAACAAAATATTAACCATTCATTATAAGCATTATTCGTTACAATTTGTATTTCATTTCTACTTTATAATTATAACTACATCTATACGTACTAAATGAAATTTGCACTATTTTCATTACACTAATTACAATTCATGCGCATATTTCCGATCTGCAGGCTTATCACTTTCGGGGTTCCGCCGGAGCACCCACAATCCCGCGAGGGACAGCGGCCAGGAACCACCAACGGCGAACTCGCCGCCTCGACCCTGTAACTAGGAATGTGTCGACCTCATGGGCGCAGTAGTCTCCCCTCGGCCTCCATCAACTTTCCTTGTTCATCAATGGTGCTCCTTCCGTAGTCGCTTCTGGAAATATTAACGCAGTAAGGGTGGGCAGAAACGGGCATGCAGTATCAACGTGACGGGCAAGGAACCTACCCCTTAAGGGTACTACTGGATTTACTTTCAAAGGGGGGGGGGGGGGACATTTCCGGAAGATAACTGCCCAAGTGTCATTAATGGATAAAGCCTGGGTGATACCCTGTGGGGAGAACTCTGACAAGGAACACTGCCACAGGGCAAAGGAGTGACTAGAGGGGAAAGGAAGAAACAAATTTCTTCCACGAAACTAGTCGGTAGCGAACTAACGTAACTAACAACCACAGCACAACTTTATCGGGAAAAAACACACACAAGTCAAACCTATTTTTTCAAACATGTGGGGGTGGGGGGTTGGGGGAGGAACAGTTACCGTATCTCAGTCAACGACAAAACTTATTCAAGGGGGAGGGATCTAGCAACCAATATTTCATTTCAAACTATTCAAATACATTATAAAACAACAAATCAATTTTTTTTATGACCACTATGTATATATTTCTAAATATAAACAATTCATTATTTCTAATATAATAACCACGTCTTAACGCCCAACATGCTTGCATCCAGAGTGACAAAATTATAACGATGGTACCCGAATCAGTTACACTGATCTCCAGTGTATGTTGCCCTCCGAAAGCATGTTACAGCTGAAGAGTTACCCTAACAAACTCCCTTAAGAGCCGTAAATGAGTTTAGTCTCAGTCTCAATGAGCATCTGCGACCAGCAGTACCCCAACAAATTCACAATCTGGGGATCTCACGCAAAGTGAAATGAACACCACGAACGCTACGCATCCCTATTTGTAAAGCGTCTCCATAAAAACGACGCCTGGAAGGCCGCATATTTATATGACCAATATCAATATAATACCTCAATAACATCGCCGGCTTAATTCATCACACGAACAACGTTGGCTGCAGAGCAGCCCCTGAACGCAGTCAGCTAACACGGCAGTGGCTATGATAACTTTCCTGACTACATTGCCCACACAATAACCTCTGGATTAACAACCGGCCTGGGAAGCATCAGTATCCGGCCTACACCCAGCAGACAACACGTCGGATAACCAGCGGCCTGGGAGTACACACATGTCTGGATAAACCAGCAGCCGGAAGCCTCCAGATTCTTTCCGCCTACACCGGCCACACAAAACGACTAGAAACGTTTACTGGTACTGGTAAACGAAACTGGTACTTCCTAGTTCTCAGTACTTCATGACAAAGTAACAAACAAAACTGTGTCAAACGCTAACTAAAATGACATGCACTCAAGCAATGCATAGCTACCAATAAATTGCTGAACCAACTAATCATAATACTACTTCAAGGGAGACGCATGACGCCACAACACAGCGTCTAGGACATCCTACATGACTAACTTAACTTAACTTAAGGGGGCATATAAATGTACAATTAAAAGTGCTACAACTTTCTTTATGAAATGGGTCTAGAAAGGGCTGCAGCTGGTCCAAGTTTCATCATCACACCATAAACAGAAAAGGAGATAATCAATTAACGATTAACGGTACGATTTTTCTAATTGTTTCACGGAACACATGTCTCAACTAAATTCAATTCTATAACACTCACATATTAAATTAAGCACATAAAACGGATCACTACAATCCTTTATTATCACAAAAGTGTTTAGTGCAATAATTGAATAATTATTCAAAGTTACCCTTCGAAATAATATGAAATATCTCATTTTTAACTTTATAAAATCAACAATTACACTTTCGACTAAAATGTCTACTACAGTCTCTACAAGCACAAACCCTACATATAAGGTGTAATTTCCATGTATATTTATTACTAAATGAAACCTCTAAAGTACTTTAAAGGTGTAAATTACTTTCCACAGTAAAATCAAGATCAAAGTTCGCCAAACTGTACCTGAGCTCGACTTCAGATTTACTTCATAATTGCCACCCTTCCACATAGGCATCCATTGAGCAAGGTGTCCAAGTTTCATGCAAATCCCTTGATAACAAACGACAAAACTAATTTGCCAAACTAACAATACTAACAAATAACAATTTTAACACATATATTCCACATACATATTACAAGACTTTGTGCTTCTACACCACATAGTACACATTTTACTTGACACATGTCTTCCCCGAGATTATTTGAGGATGTTGAACATTCGTTGCATAATACGTTTTGTATTTTTTTTCTCATTTTCTGTTTAGGGTGTCATCGTGAAAATTGGACCAGTTGCAGCCCTTTCTATAACAATTTCATACAAACATTTATAACCAAATGTAACTATTTTTCATTTATAACGATTTATAATGATATGCCCCCTTAAAGGTGAAACAATTCTAAAACCAGCAAGCAAACATGAAGCTTCACACTGCATAAACATCATTCATAAATTAAGCAAACTTATGGACATTACAACTCCATGAAAACTTCAAGCTAGGGCCACCAGGCCTGTGACACAGCACCTTCCCTAACCTACCGCACTTTACCTATTAACTTAAAAACGATAACCAAAATGATTAACATGAGTAAACCTGTAATCAATAATTACACATCCAGCAACACGCTCCATAATTGGCGGGAATAGTTAGCTCATGTAACTAAACGTAAATGCAGGGCCAGTAATCTGGAGGCAAAGGGGGGGGGGCCTATCACAGCCTACCTCAGTTACTTGATAACTTAATGGCAAACAGGTTAAACAATCAAAAAATAACTATCAATAAACAACGTGCACCTTTACCCCCATAAATTGCATTAGTAAATTTAGGATAATGGTAAAAAATACTAACATTCTTAAACTCAAAGGCATGAGCCTTGTAACTCACGAACGACCACAACATACGTTACTTTACTTAATAACTAAATACAATAAGCAACAGTTTTAATTACTTAATTTATCCATTGCCCTCATGCATGTTTTATTGTAATAATAAATTCTACAGAGACAAATCCTAATTGCAAACCCAACGAAACTAACACCAAGAGACTTCGACCCGTGATGCGGCTCCAACATCAATAAATTCAACATAATTAAATTGTGAGCCATAACACATTGTAACTGAAAGACGATTCTGAACTATAAACATTGACAACATTTCATTCGTTCGTACCTTGAATGGAAGAGAAACTTGATCCTTCAACAGCTGGAGGTTGTGTCCCTACAGTAACTACACACGATGCTATCAACCTCATCCACGTCCAGGGTCCTCAAACGTGTCACCTGAAAAACTATATTGTATTCAGGATTGTGAACAGTCATATACGATAAACATTCCTTATCACAAGTACTATCTCAAATACACGCCCATGCACTCTTCCAAAAACAACACACCTTGCGACAGAGGGAGGGGGCCCTCATGGCCCACTTTGGAAATGGGACATCCACCCAGTTATGATTCCAAGCGCCAGTCCACCTTCCCGACAATGCGGGGGGGGGGGGTTCATCAACTAAGCTTAATCTCTTATCTCAGAGATGCGAGTGTGTGACCTCTTCTTCATGTGTATTTCACCATCTATACACGATTAGAGGAATACCGCCTACCATTCATACATACACACCAAACCTTCCACACGTTATGTTCACTTCCGGCCATTTATTTTTATTATATATTAAAACTGTTCCGTCTACTCAAGATGGGTCTCATGACGTCTAATGCTCAAACTACACGATTAATTCTGGAATTATTTTATTTAGTACTAGTTGCGATTGCAGTTTTACGGACTACGTCACTAAATTCATGGACCAACATGTGTTGAAATCAACACATCACACTCACCTTAACGTCACAGCCTCTTCCATTACTCTGCAGTGTCGTTCGTTCGCCTCCAACAATCCTGCTTTCACCACAAATACATATTTCACCATTGCTCGGTTTCGCCCATGCCGCACCTCTCCACACGCTGATCTGCAGGAAATATAATCCATAATATCCATCCATTTAACCATGACAACATTTAACGGCTAAAACAATCTATTTATGATTACTCTAATCCAAACTCCTTACACAATTTTTTCTTCAATGCCAATTCATTTGCTATAGTATACTATAATTCAACCTCTAACAATTTGTATATTACTTTCTGATATGTCTATCAACGTCTAACTCAGTTTACATGAGGGATAACTATAATACATAGCAAAACATGTCTTGCACCTCTGACGAGAGCTAATATGCTTTACAATACCATCAAAGCGCACCCATGACAATACCATTCACCATACTCAAAACACCACGTCGGGTATACCTACAATCCGATGTTAAACACGCTATTTTTAAATCTTAGAGTTTCGTGATCGCGCATAATCATCCTACCTTACCCCAATCAGCGTCTATCTTACACTTCTGGCTACACAACATTAACTGCCCAATAATTACCTACCACTAGTAATTGGGGTACCTATATCACCACAGATTGCCCGATAATCCTCCAGCGAAACGAGACTATGTTCCTAGTACACATTTCTCAATTAACACTAAACAATAAACTCCACACCACATACTGCTACACAATGATAACCAACACCTCGTGGACCAATAGCTGAAGCTCAACCATGTCACTTTTGTGACTTGACATGTTTTTTCACTTTTGCCTCCATCTACACTAATGGTGGAGCGCACGCTATCCCGCTCACTACACAATTACACCAATATCAACATAACCACCACCTACACACTCCCACGTGTACCCTCGCCAGCCACCCACAGTAAAAAAGACAAATACTGTCACGAGCCTCACATCTGGAGTTTCATTTCTTCAGCCATTGGTCGCAAGTCAACCGGAACCTTCACATCCCCTACACGTATAAATTATATTGTTCAGCTTTAGTTTTTATCAGCCTTTTGTCCTACGAAGGAGGTCGCGCTTATTTCATCCTGTATATTTTACATTATAACCAAATTACATTAACATTTAACATGTTACTGACATTAAACAGTTACTTATCACCTATGTACGTCAAACGACTCTAGCTAAATTTATGTCTACGTCCTTCGACGAGGACAGGAAGGATACGTAGTGCCAACGGTTTCCCCCCATACGTCAAATTATGTACCCAGGTAACACGAACACTTTCAAGTATTGGGCAGGGAGGGACAACAACACTTTCAAATTGGATACAACACTACACTCCACCACGAGCGAGAGCGGCCAAAGCCTATCCACCAACTTATCACTAATCTTAATCACCAGTTACCGCAAGCAACACCACCATCCTCCAAGACTAAAAATTTGGAATAGTTGACAAATTATTTAAAACTATGTTAATTACCGTAACTCATACATTTTCATATTTAAAACAAAACTTATGGCGGTCCTGATATGGTTGGAGTAATGACTCGTCAAACTTCCATTGCCCAAACTAAGGCTCCAAATTACGCTAATCATAATACAATATTACTATGCCTCTAACTATTTACCTTGTGCCGGATAGGCCCATCATACCTTGGTAACTCAACTAGCACATCTCGTACAACGGGAACATCTGCCACCACTTTGTGCTCGGCAGCGTATGATTCCAATCATCGCTCCTTCAAGACTCCTGTGGAAACAAAATACAATACAATGTTACAAATTAATACAGTACCTAAACATTATTAAAACATTTTTTAGTACTGATTATGGGTCAGGACTAAAAAAATATCGCACTATATATACACCCAAACAGGGGGTATATACGATAGCTAAAAATAATACAGATTTTTGCCCCTATGTGCGTTTTGACGGTGTACAGAGTGACAGTGTAACCTAGGGGTCTGTCAGCCCTAGCGACCCCAAAGGGTAACGGGGTACCAGCTCAGAGTAACATCACGCCCTAACACTAACTTGTACACCTCTACTCGGCTAATTCTAGGGGCAAAATAACGTTCCGTTGCGCCTCAATGACCAGGTGGACTCAATAGCCAATCACGTTTCTCATTTTCAGTTGACGTCACATACTCAATAGCCAATCACGTTTCTCATTTTCACTTGACGTCACAATGTCGCAACCTCTACTGTCATTGGTCGCCTCCACGTAATTGGATACCTCAGTAATTAATGATATTTATTTTTTTTAAACTGAAATCTATCAACTCAAATGTATACCCAAACTATGAGAAACATACATGTACCAAATGGATGACAAATTAGTGATTTGGATAGAATTTACCTACTTAAAATTAGCTGTTAGATTAAGGACCTGCCCGAAACGCTGCGCGTACTAGTGGCTTTACAAGAGTGTAATTACTGTACTATGCTATGTATTCCCACAAACCCAATGTAACTTCTTGTATATAAATAAATATATACATTTACTGTTTTACATTACACTCACAAATGATGATTTTCGATTAATTATTAAATAAGTATTATTATAATTATTATATCATATGATTACTTATTCAAATTGTACAGCATAGTACACTACCGTAGAGTACAGTTCCGTACGGTACGATGCACTACAGTATACTATACTGTATACATTACAATACAGTACAGTACCGTACGATACAGTACAGTCAAGGGCACAGTACTGTACAGTACACTACAGAACATTAGTACCTTCACATCCAAAACATTAGTACCTTCACATTCTGTATTGTACTGTACAGTACAATGCAGAACATTACAGTACCCTACAGTACACTACAGTACAAGGTACAGTACCCTGGAGTTCAGGGACCAAATTCACGAAGCAGTTACGCAACTAATTACGAATGGGTACATCTTTCCTCAATCTTTGACGGCTTTGGTTACATTTATTAAACAGTTTACCCCCATGAAAACTTGCCAATCAACTGTTGTTAATGTTATAAACAGCCTCCTAGTGCTTCGGAGCTCATTAACTGTTTAACAGTTGTAAACAAAGCCGACAAAGATTGAGAAAAGATGTACAGGTTCGTAACTACTTGCGTAACTGCTTCGTGATTCGGACCCCAGGCCTCGCCACTGGAGGGGGGGGGGGGTAGTCGTCGCCACGTCTCGCGTTCCCAGTAGTTCTTGGGCGCTGCGAGGGGCTGGTAGTGCGCCCGCTGACCGACGTCTTGGCTCCCGGCATGGCGGCGGCTGGGAGTAGGCCGATTCGCCGTGTAGATACTGTGGGGCTTGCTTTCTCACCTCCTGTGGATTGGCCTCTCGTATTAGTGGCGTTACTGGACGTTTTGGATGTGAAGGTCGCCGATCTTCTAGGCCTGGAGAAACTTACGTATATGCGTGTGGCGGTGAAATTTGACACGTCACCAGGCTACCTGAACAAAACAGGGAATAGTGAAGCAGAAGATTTTCTACAATTAATTGACGATTGCTTTCTTACGCAACACATTAAGGAACCAACGCGGCAAAATATTTTAGATTTAGTGTTATCAGGGAAACACAAATTAATGACATCGAAATAGGGAGTGACCTAGGGAACAGTGATCACAAAGTAATCACATTTAGCATAGAATGCAATAGACCTGTAGGAGAATATTCTGTTAAAGTGCAACATTTTCGAAAGCTGATTTTAATAGCCTAAGAAATTTTTTGCCTCAAATAGATTTGAAAGTCTTGGGTATAGGGGCTGGGCCGGTCTTAGAGCGACACTTGAACCCAGCGATAGGTGATGTAAAAGGGGATTTCAATGTGGATTTAATATATAACTTATTTCACAATATTCTAAACAAAGCACAGGAACGTAGTATACCATACAAATTGAATAGATCGAATACTAATGACCCAAAGTGGATAACAAATAATTTTAAAGAACCTTATAGGTAAAAAGAGAGCTTGGTACAAAAGGATTAAGAATGGAGAAGTCAGTTTACAACAGGAATTCATACAACTGGTTAGAAATGTTAAAACAAAGAGATTAGGAAAGCAAACAAACTATGAAGTTCGCATAGCAGGGCAAGCAAAGTCAAATCCTAAAGGTTTTTTTCAGTTATATCGAACTAACACTAGGGAAAGGATAGCTCCAGTAAAATCTGAGACAGGTCAAATAACGAATAATGACAAGATGAGTAGTATTTTTAACAAATATTTGATATCTGTATTTAATAAAGAGGAACTTAACAATGTGCCTTCGGTCCAACAAGTCTGTGGGTGGGGATGAGGACAGGTTGACTAGTTTAGCACTTACCAGGGAGGATGTAATTAAACAATTCGTAAAACTAAAACCAAACAAATCACCAGGGCCGGATGAAGTGTTTGCCAGGGTGAGTAAAGAATGCAAAGAGGTGCTTTCCGACCCACTCTCTACCATATTTATTAAATCAATAGTCAGGCAGAGTGCCAGAGTCATGGAACGTAGCTCATGTGGTACCAATTTTTAGGAAAGGAAATAGATCACTTGCGTCAAACTATCGCCCAATTAGCCTAACGTCTATTGTGGGAAAGTTACTTGAATCATAAAAATAAAGCCAACTGCAGAACGCCTATTGGCCCATACGAGGCAGCTCCTATCTATAACCACCCAATCCCACTCATATACTTGTCTAACCCGTGCTTGAAACAATCGACGGACGATATCTTTCAAATATCTATGAAAGATATTGCAATTGATGTGCAATGTTTTTCCAGCCACCAATTGACACCAAGTGCCCTCGACTACTTTTCATTTCCAACTCACTTTCTTGGAAGAATACCAATATGATGGCAGAGTCATGGAAGGTAGCTAATGTGGTACCATTTCTTTAAAAAGGAGATTGATCACCCGCGTCAAACTATCGGCCAATCAGCCCAACGTCCATTGCTCCTGAACAAATACCCTGGATGCAGCCAATGAGTCACAATAACGTGGCTGAAGTATGTTGACCAGACCACACACTAGAAATTGAAGGGACGACGACGTTTCGGTCCCTCCTGGACCATTCTCAAGTCGATTGTGATTCAATTTCTAGTGTGGTCTGGTCAACAAATACCCAGGATGTGTCACAACGGAAACGTTGATGTTATTCTGGAGAGATATAAGAAATTTTGCACCAAGATTGTAATATTTTGTTGAATTATCTGCATCTGTCTTGCAAATTGTCTATACAGTATACCTAGGTCATAAAAGTATGTGTGTACGTCTGATACCATACTACTTGTGAAGGAGGAAATGTATATGTTTACCTCTCAGAATGTTTGGTAATGTTTATTTGTGATGTGTGTCTATGTAAATATTAACACGTTGTACTGAACGGGGTGAGAATAACTTGAGCAACCTCATCCCTTTGTGTGTATTTTACCTCAATAAACTTATTTCAATTTCAACGTCCATTGCTGGAAAGCTACCCAAATCGACAATTGCAAATACAATTCGTCTTAAGAGACAATTTTATAAACAATGTTCCAGCGATGTGTCAATATTTCATTAAAAATGATCTGCTACCAGACATTTTAGCCAAATATCCCGTTGGCTAACTGTAGGTAGTAACTAAGTGATTGTAACCTATCCACCGCTGCCCCCTGGATGGGGGGGGGAGAGGCCGTGTGCAGGACAAACATATAAATTGTGACACTAGCTCTCCACATGTCAGTTGCTTAATTTAGAACCTGTACTTGAGGTCGATCTCGAACCCATTGTTGATGTGACGACTTACATTGAATTTTGTAACTAGCTCATCAAGATTGTAACTTGCTTAGCTAAATGAATTGTGGGGTTCAGTACCTGAGCCCATTATGTGCCTCTAACACTTTCCACTACCGCCCACAAGATGGGTATGGGGTGCATAATAAAGGAACTAAACTAACTTCATCTTGAACATAAATGACTCCCAACATGCTTCTGCAAATGGCCGTTCATATATAACAAATTTGCTATCCCTTCATTCCAGCCAACTTGACAGTGGCAAGGATTGCGAAGCTGTGCACACCGACTCTAGCAAAGCTTTTGATAAAGTACCACATGAAAGACTGATAAAAAAAATCACAAATAGAGCCTCATGGTATAGGGGGTGCTATATAAAGTTGGACCAGGGCATGTCTACTCCAAAAGAAACAGAGCTAGCATAAATGGGGTTAAGTCACAGTGGCATAATGTTGTCAGTTGAGCGCCTCAAGGCTCTGTCCTGGGACCTCTATTCTTTACAACATACATAAATGATTTACACTCGGGTTCGAGCACCAACATCCGCAAATTTGAAGATGACAAAAATCGGTTGGGAAATTGACTCTGAAGAAGACTCTCTATCACTGCAGGTTGATCCAAATAGTTTCGAAATGATCAAAAGATTGGCAGATGCAGCCTAACGCAGACAAATGCAAAGTTCTGAGGCTAGGTAATGATAGTTACAAGATACGAGCCAGGTGGTGCTGAGATTGCGAAGTCGGACCGCGAAAGGGATCAGGGAGCCATGATTAGTAAGAATTTAAAACAAAAGGACCAATGTATGAATGTTCGCAATAAGGTAAACAGGACACTCGCATTCATTAATCGAAGTGCCAGTAACAAGACACCTGGTGTAGTTCTTCAGAACTTTACATTTATCAGCATTAAACTGCATTTGCCAATCCTTTGACCATTTCAAAACCCTATCTAGATCAACTTGAAGTGATAGCGAGTCCTACGAATTAATTTCCCTACCGATTTTCGGATCATCGGCAAAATTGCAAATGTTGCTACTCAAACCTGAATCTAAATCATTTATATATATTATAAACAACAGAGGTCCCAGGACAGAGCCCTGAGGTACTCCACTAACAACATTATCCCACTCTGACTTAACCACATTTATGCTAACTCTGTTTCCTTTGGAATAGCCATGCCCTAATCCAGCTTAATATAGCACCCACAATACCATGACACTATCTTTTTAATCAGTCTTTCATTTGGCACTGTATCAAAAGCTTTGCTAAAGTCAAGGTACACAACATCGCAATCCTTACCACTATCAACTGCCTCACCAATGCTAGAATAAAAAGATAACAAATTTGTTAAACATGAACGCCCATTGATAAAACCATGTTGCGACTCAATTATTAATTTGTTTTTCAAGATGAAGACGATTTTTATTTGCTATTATA